TCGTCGTCGGCGTCGCCGTTCTCGTCGTCGTCGTCGTCGTCGCCGTCGTCGTCGTCGTCGGCGTCGCCGTTCTCGTCGTCGTCGTCGTCGTCTTCGCCGTTTTCGTCGTAGTTCTCGTTCTCGTCGTCGGCGTCGTCGTCGTCGTCGTCGGCGTCGCCGTTCTCGTTGTCGTCGTCGTCGTCGTCGTCGTCGTCGTCGTCGTCGTCGCCGTTCTCGTCGCCGTTGTCGTCGTCGTCGGCGTCGTCGTCGTCGTCCTCGTCGTCGTCGTCGTCGTCGTCGTCGTCGTCGTCGTCGTCGTCGTGTTCGCCGTCGTCGTCGTCGTCGTCGCCCGACGACCGACCGACGGACCGACCGACCGAACTGCCGACGACCGACGCCGCCACGCAGGAGCCGCAGCCAGCGGCGGGCGGCACGGCCGCCACGGCCCGGCGCCGCGTCGAGCGTCTCGGGGGCCGGTGGGCGCCAGGGGGTGGAGCTGCTCGCCGCGGGCTTTGCTCCTGCTCGTCGCCCCACCCTCCCTCCCTCTGTCCCTCTGTCCCCCCCCCCTTCCCTCTCTGCTGCCTCCTCCCTCCTTCCTTCTCCTCCCTCGTCGTCGCCGTCGTCCTCGTCCTACTCCTGCTTCTCTTCATCCTGCCTCCTCCTCCTCCTCTTCCGTGCATCCCTCGTCCCTGCCTCCCTCCCTACCACTCACTCTTCCCCCCTTCTCCTTCCTCCTCCCCCTCCTCCTCTTCTTCCTTCCGCGTCCTCCTCCTCCTCCTCCTCCTCGTCCTCCTCCTCCTAATTTAGCCGTAGAGGTTTAAACAGGTCCTCGTCTTCCTCCTCCTCCTCCGCCTCCTCCTCCTCCTCCTCCTCCTCCTCCTCCTCCTCCTCAAGAGCCGTTCGGCTCTGCCGCCCTTAGGGGGGAGGGGGCCGTAGGGCCGCGCCGAGCTTCTGCGAGGCGTTCTTGGGATCGCGCGCCATAGGTTTAAGTCGGGCGTGTCGTTCTGCAGGCGGAATTTCCAAAAATTGTAAAACATAGTATGGGGACGATTTTTTGACCATTTGTTTTTTGTTGTGTGTGCATTTTTCAATTACTTAAACATATAATGTTTGTCGCAAATCCGCTTGTAGGGGACATGCCCGACCTAAACATTGGTGGAGGCGTCCACCTGTCGTTGCGCGTTGCTGATTCGGCGCGATTTCGCCTAGTTTTATGATTTTTCAACATGTTGTAGCCTTGACCACCAGACAGAATTTCGTCCACCAAAGAATGCCGAAACTCGAGGGTTTTAACATGTCCGACCCTGGGAGACACTCGTCCGACTCTGTTTCGACACTGTTTCGACGCTGTTTCGACACTTGTCCGGGTGCTCGAAATTACTTTTGGGATGTGGCCCTGGAACCTAAGTCTAGTTCGGCTACGGGGCCCCCGCCGCCGTCATGGGTCGAGCCGCGTCTTGCGCCGTGAACCCGCTAGGCGGGTGCCGCCAAGCGCGCGAGCTTCGCCGCGCAGGGCAGCCGATCGCGCTGCCAGGCCTGCCGCCGCTGCGAGTGGGACGACCGCCTGGCGGAGCGCAGCTGGCAGTGCAGTTGCGGTGCGACGGTCGTCCCGTGCTCGATGCGGCCGTCCTCGAAGCCGCGTGGCGGTCGCCAGGCTGGAGGTGGAGGTCACCTCGCGCTGCTGGTGCCACGGCGGCCCGGGGCGAGGTGCCTGCTGAGCTGCAGCAGGCCTTGATGGTCGACCAGCAGCACGCGCAGGCAGCAATCGCCAAGGCAGCGGAGCTTTCGCACGAGGGCGCCTTTCGCAAAGCCGCTGGCGTCTGGAAGGAGCTCCACGGGCGCCGCCAGGGCGCAGTGGGCCAGGTCATGAGGTGCCGCGCCGCGCCGAAGGCCGCCGAGAGCCGCGAGAAATGCCTCTCCATGCAGTTGGCCGAGGCCGAGGCGGCGGAGCAGAAGGCTGCTGCGGCTGTCGCCGCCCTGGCGCCCGCGCATGCCGCGCCGCCTCCCGCGGCCCCGCGGGCCAGCGATGGGAGGGGGCCTCTTCCAGTTCGCGTGGGGCGAGTCGATCTTCGCCGACGAGGGCACTGAGGAGTTGGTCTGCGCGGATCGCGCCGGCGTGGGGAACTTCCGCCGCGAGCCGTGCAGCGCCAAGACGCAGTTGGAGACTCGATCCGCGGGGGCGGGGCCCACGCTGGCGCGGGCCGAGAGGCTCGCCGAGCAGAGCCGCCGGCTCCTGGCCAAGAAGCGCAAGGGGGCCTGATGGGGGCTTCTGGGCGACGCGCCGCCGGATCCAGGCTCCGCCTCGGCGCCCGCCGCTCCCGCCGCCGCCGGCAGCGATGCCGCCGCCCCGCCGGCAGGCGCTGGGCCGCCGCCGCCGTCGGGGGCCGCGCCTCCCGCCGCCCGGGGGGCCGCTGCTGCTGCTGCCCCTGCCGCTGCTGGGCTGGGGGCCGAGGCTGCAGAGCTCAGCGAGGCCGAGTTCCGCGCCGCCGAGCAGGCTGCGGCGGCCGCCAGCGGCGAGAGCGCGGGCGCGGCGCCGATGCGAGGCATCCGCGCGGACCTCCGTGTTCGTGTATCTCCGGCATGGCTTGCTCCCCTTGGGGGGCCTCATGGCGAGGGGGATGTGCATGCAGAAGTTTCCAGACGCGCCCCGTCCGCAGGGTTGGCGACGATAGGGTGTTCGAGGTGTTTCAGGGCGTTCGGCTGCCGTCGCGTCGGCGCCCGCTTCCCTGCCCCTGCACCCCTGACGTGCACGGCGTCTTCCCTCTTGTTCCCCTGCAGTCGGGGCCCTGAAGAAGGAACCCCTTTGGTTGGGGAGGGGCTCAGGTTTGCCTCAGCCTGCCTCAGGTTCCCCTTATGTTTTCGATAGGAGATCGAAGCTTAACTTATGGACAAAAGGGGCCTCGCTCCTCATTTCGGGCTCCTTAGGTCAACGCCCCGACTGTAACTCAGGGAGTCCACCGTGCAGCCGACTCCAGGGGCCGCCGGCGACGAGGCGTGCCGACGCTCCGGCGGAGCCCGCGCGGCCCCGCGGGGGGCAGGTCTGGCGGGCAGGGCGACGCTTCCTCCGGCAGCGCGCCGGCACGGGCAAGCCCGTCGCCCCGACGAGCGCCAAGGCCTGCGTTGTGCAGCGAGCGAAGAACGGTATAAAATGAACTTTTTCGCCGTCGGGGGCGCCTGTCCCTGGGCGGCTGGAAAGTTTATACCCGTTAAGTTGTGCAGCTCCTGGTGCTGCCTGTGAGGCTCTGGCGGCAAGTCAGTCCGTCGCAATGGCGAGTCCGCCGCCGCCGCCGCCTCCTGCCCCCTCCGCCTCCTCCCGCCCCCTCGTCCTGCTGCCTCTTTATGCCCCTTCTCCCTTCCCCCCCTCCACGCTTCTGCTTCCTCGTATCTTCTCATCCCTCCACCTCGTTTCCCTTCCCCCCTAGTTCAGAGGCGACGATAGGGGCGAATAGCCCAGGGGCGGGCATTACGCGTACTCGCCCGGGAGCCTTTTCGAAGACATCGATCATCGGCGCACCTGGATACATGTATTGCTCCCCTCTGGGCTATTCGCCCCTATCGTCGCCTCTGACTAGTCCCCGTCGCCCCGATCCTCCTCCCCCTCGCCAAGCGCTTCGTTGTCGTCGTCCGCCTCCTCCTCCGCCTCGTTCGTCGCCCACCGGCCCCCGGACCGTGGCCGAGAGCCAGGGCGTGGTCTCGAGGCTGCACCAGCACCAAAACAAGGCCCCCTTGATGGTGCCGTGTCCTCTGGGACCAGGAAGGAGCGAGGGATGAGGGTGGGAGGGGGGGCGGAACGGCGAAGGAGGAGGCGGGAGGGAAGGAGGCAAGGAAGACGAAGAAGAGGAGGGTGGGGGGAGAGGCAGCAGCAGACGCGAAGGATGTGGAGGGGGAGAATGGACAGGGAGGGAAGAGGCGGAGAAGAGAGGGAGGAACATAGGGAGGGAGGGTCGGGGAGGATGAGGAGGAAAGTGCAGAGATGCAGGAGGGGAGGAGGAGGAGGAGGAGGAGGAGGAGGAGGCGGAGGAGGAAGTGGAGGAGCGGGAAGAGGAGGGGGAGGAGCAGAGCGAGGAGGGAGGACGGTATTGCATTCGTGGGGGTCTAGAAAGTCTTAATATTCGGCTCGATGACCTGTGAGAGAAAGCACACATTCACGTACTGATAAAGCGCATAATCGCTATGTCGCTGTCAAAGCGTGGTTGGTCAGCGAAATTTTGTGGCGTAGGACTCTGATCTATCTAATTACATGTGATCGTACACATATGTATACGAATGTTTGATATGCAGTGTCACAGGCATCGAAGCGCTGATCTACACCACAAGCTGGCTGGTAATGGTGAAAGGGGAGGAGGGACACATGAGGGGGTACGGTAGGAATGTTATGAGCAAGGATGGAGGGGAACGGGGGAGAGGGAAATGGAGGGGAACGACGTACATGGTGATAAGGGGGAGGGGAAGGAGGAAGACAATGAATGATCGGGGAGGAGTGAGGAGGGAGTAATCGGATACGTAGAGTGGGGAACAGGGAAGAGCGGGGTGCTGTAAAGGACGATGTTGTTGATGATGGCGATGATGATGACGATGTTGTTGATGATGATGATGCTGATGATGTTTATGATGATTATTATGACAACGACGATTGCGACGATGGCGACGACGATGACCACGACGATGCTGACAATGACCATGACCATGACCATGACGATAACAACGCCGACGACGACGACGATGATGATGATGATGATGGCGATGGTGCTGGTGCTGGTGATGGTGACGGAGATGATGATGCTGATGATGCGGATGATGATGATGATGATTCTGATGATGAAGATGACAATGATGATGATGATCGTGATGATGAGGACGACGATCGTGATGATGGCGACGACGACGATGACGATGACGATGCTGACAATGACCATGACCATGACGATGACGACGCCGACGACGAAGACGACAATGATGATGATGATCATGATCATGATGATGATGATGATGATGATGATGATGATGGTGATGGTGCTGGTGCTGGTGATGGTGACGGAAATGATGATGATGATGATGATGATGATGATGATGATGGTGATGGTGCTGGTGCTGGTGATGGTGACGGAAATGATGATGATGATGATGATGATGATGATGATGATGATGATGATGATGGTGATGGTGCTGGTGCTGGTGATGGTGACGGAAATGATGATGATGATGATGATGCTGATGCTGATGCTGATGCTGATGATGATGATGATGACGACGACGACGACGATGATGATGATGATGATGATGATGATGATGATGATGATGATGATGATGATGATGATGATGATGATGATGATGATGATGATGATGATGATGATGATGATGATGATGATGATGATGATGATGATGATGATGATGATGATGATGATGATGATGATGATGATGATGATGATGATGATGATGATGATGATGATGATGATGATGATTATGATGATGATGATTATGATGATGATGATGATGATGATGATGATGATGATGATGATGATGATGATGATGATGATGATGATGATGATGATGATGATGATGATGATGATGATGATGATGATGATGATGATGATGATGATGATGATGATGATAATGAGGCGATCATCTTGAACCAGATCGGGAAGGGGATGAGAAGGAGGGACTTGACAGGCAGGAGGTGAAGCATTGTGATGGATAAGTTAAAGAGGAAGTCGGGAGGAGATGGTGACGAGTATGACGAGTAGGAGGTGGAGGAGGATGATGATGATGAGGAGGAAGAGCAGGAGGAGCAGAATTCGAGGAGGAAGCGGAGTAGTACAGAGGAGAGGGCAGGCTTGGAGGAGGAGGATGAGCAGCACGAGGAGACGGGAGACGACGACTTAACGACGACAATGGCGACGGCGTTTTTTTTTGACGTTTCGGCCACTTGGCTTCTGGAGGTCGGTGGAAGCCTCCAGGCGCCTCCACGCAGACATACGACGGGTCCGCAGACCTCCAGGCATTATGCGGCAAGCAGCCAGAACTCAGCATCCCCAAGAGTCCCGCAAAACACAGAGTAGCCGCGCTGGTGTGCACGCGGATGACAGCGCTCGACGTCTGTCACTTGGAATAAAGCCCTGATCAGCAACAACACGATTGTCGCGTAACACAGCCCCGCTCACAGAGAGCTTTATCACTACCGGCGTCGAGCGAAGCCGCCCCTATTCACTAGGCGCAGCCCAGCACACAAGTGAATTTTGTGTGCAAAGTCAGATCCTTAATTTAGGCATCAACCTCGCCTTTTTCTTGGTCTGATCAACCGGAGAACTCCCTTTCTCTCCGCTTCTGCTCCTCGGTGCGCCGCTCGCGCTCCCCTCCGGCTCCTATCCTTCGCCCCCCTTCTCTATCCTCAGCCGCTCCCTGCTCCAATTGTCCGTCATTCGCTTGGCCCCAGAGGTGGCCCTCGAGGCTTTGGCATCGGACCTCCCCTCCCCCCTGCGCGACTGTCCAGACCGTTGCGCCTCCCGCGAACAATTCGCGAGAGTCCGGGCCCCCCGCGAAAAATTCGCGAGAGTCCTGCGAAAGATTCGCGTGAATCCTTCGCGCCGTGCGCTGTCCTTTGAGGCGCCCCCCGGGCTACTTCGCCCCCGCGAAACCCCCCTGGGCGATTCGCGAGGGCTGTTCCCGCGCGAGACCACCCCGGGCGACTCGTGCAGGAACTGAGCGGTGGAGACCCCCCTGGGCGACTCCACCGCTCGGACCGACCACCCCCAGGCGAGTCGGCCCGTCCTGGACCCCCCCGGGGCGATCCAGGACCCCCCGCACCCTCCCAGGCGAGCGGGGGCGCCTAAGGGAAAAGCCCCCGCCTAAGCTCCCCCTTTTGAGGGATTTTTGGCAGGGGCGATCCGCGCCGGGGCGGCAGTCGAACCCCCCGGAGCGATCGACCGCGGCAGATCCCTCCCACAAAAAAAAACACAAACACACACAAAAAAACAAAACAACACAACGCAACACACACACACACAACATTCACACACAAAAAGCACCGGACGGAACATAACAAACACAACGTGACACAACAACCACACACAGACGCACACAACAATTACTAAATTATGGCTCTGACTTTGCACACCCAAAGCGAACACTGATGCCTGAACGGCACGCTGGAGGAGCGAGGGTGAAGACCCAGGTGCGTATTGTCAGCTTGGCGGGGCACAGTGTGTACTCATAACGTGGATACCACGTGGAGCAGCGCCGCGAACAGCTGTAATTGGTGCACGCGTCGAGGATGCGAGGGGCATACTGACCAAAAGGCGAAGGCGACGCGAGAGGATCCGGAAGAGTAGGAGGAGGAGGAGGAGGAGGAGGAGGAGGGGGAGGAGGAGGAGGAGGGGGAGGAGGAGGAGGAGGAGGAGGAGGAGGAGGAGGAGGAGGAGGAGGGGGAGGACGAGGACGAGGAGTTTCAGGAGGAGGAGGAGGACCAGAGGAAATCCAGGATGCATCCACGATGCTGCAATCCACACTCGCTTCCCAAGTCCCGTCCTCAGAAGTCCATACAAGCCTTCCTCGTCACTACAAGAAGCGCCCCGTTGAGTGACCAGTACCCTATGGGCGTGTTATTCTGGCGAGAGCACCGTTTTTGAGAATGACATGTCTTTCACCATGTCATTCGCACGGTCAGGAATGCGCCAAACTATGATTAGACAGTTCAACTCGGTATCCTGCGATATCACCGTTTTGAAAAGGACAGCCTTTCCATCCGTGTTAATGTTTGGCACGGTTGCAATGTTTGGAATCGCGTGAGCCCAATTCTGAAGCGGAGCAGTCCTTCATTCTTTGAGTTTCAGCAAACTTTTAAGACGATTCTGCGCGGCGCTGAGGCGAGGGCCCCATTTTGAAAAGCAGCCGCCCTCCATCCTTGTAACGTTTGCAAACTTGTAATGCAAGTGTACGGGGCGCTAAGGCGAGAGCCCCAGTTGACAACTACATGTGCTCTACCCGTGTAGTAGTGACAGTCATTTCAGACGAACGTGTGCCGCAAAACGACGGCAACTCCACTTTGAAAGCGAATCCTGTCGCCTTTTTTTGCATACTCGAAGACGAACGGGCGCGACGATAAGGCGAGAGTCCCAGTTTTGGAAACCAGCCCGTCCATTGTTGCAGTTGTACTTGATACCAAGGGTGTGGAGGAGGATGAGGGGTATGAGAAGCAGGAGGGTGGGAAATCCATGATGATGAGGAGGGGGAGGAACACGACGAGGAGGAGGATGAGGATGAGGAGGATATGGAGGATCGGGGAGGAGGAGTAGGAGTAGGAGTAAGAGTAGGAGTCAAGCTAGCCAGCTCGAACGAGTCAAGCATGGCATGCCCATTCCACCCGCCCTCCCACAACATAAGAAGCAGTGCTGGCGCAACTGGGGGTCGAAGTCAGATCGGCAAGGTGGTTCGCCACAGCTGATGCAGCCGCGATGGCGGTTACCGATGGGAAATTCCTTGCGCGTCTCAAAGACTGCGCTGGCATGTCAGCACGAGCCGAGGAGGCCTCGGGAAGCCTGAGGAGGCCCCAGTAGGCCTCAGGAGGCCCCAGGAGGTTGCAGGAAGCCCCAGCGAACCCCAGGAACCCCCAGGAGGCTTCAGGAGGGCCCAGGAAGCCAGGAGGTGTCAGGAAGCCCTAGGAGGTGTCAGGAAGCCCCGGGGAACCCCAGGAATCCCCAGGATGCCTCAGGAGTATCCACGAGGCCCTGGGGAAGCCCCGGGAAGTTTCAGGATGTTCCAGGAAACCCTGGGAGGCCCCAGGGGGCCCTAGGCGCTAGACGAATAGGCGAGCGAAAAATGTGCGCCGCGCCTTAGCGGGAGTGCAACTTTCAGAACACATGCGCGCGGCGCCGAAGTTGGAACGACATTTCGCATTGTCGCGTGCGATGCGCACCGCGCCCCATTCCTGCCACGCATTTCGCAAAACCGACGACAAGAAAGTCCTCGATGATAAGAAACATGCCGACTTGATATTGGTTTTTGAAAGGTAGGATGGCCCCTCCCGCTTGGGGTTACCCCGAACGTCCGCACGCGATGTGCGCCGCGCCCCATTCCTGCTACGCGGTTCGCATCGTCGACGACAAGACAGGCCGTGTTTACAGGAAAAGGGGAGACTTTTGTATTGATTTTTACAGTCAGGATGGGAGGGCCCGGATTGACGTCCGCGCGCAATATGCGCCGCGTCCCACTCCTGAAACGCATTTCGCATCGTCGACGACAAGACAGGCCATGTTGGGAACAGCGGAATCTTTGTATGGCTTCTTTTTACAATCAGGATGGGACCTCTCGAATGGGATTGCTATCGGCCGGACAGAGTGGGTAATGAGAGTATATTCTAATAAGCAATTAGGAAAGAAGGAGGAGGATAATCAGGAGGAGGACAAGGAGGACGGGAATGAGGATGATGATGATGATGCTGCTGATGATGATGCTGCTGATGATGACGATGATGATGCTGTTGCTGATGCTGCTGATGCTGCTGATGATGATGTTGATTCTGCTGCTTCTGCTGCTGATGATGACGATAGTGACGGTGATGATCATGCTGATGATGATGACGATGATGATTGATGCTGATGATGATGATGATGATGATGATAATGATGATGATCATGCTGATTAGGATGATGATGGTGTTGATTAGGATGATGATGATGATGCTGATGCTGATGCTGATGCTGATGATGACGATGACGATGACGATGACGATGACGATGCCGATGCCGCTGATGATGATGATGATGATGATGATGATGATCATGATGATGATGATGATGATGATGATGATGATGATGATGATGCTGATGCTGCTGATGCTGCTGCTGATGATGATGATGATGTTGCTGCTGCTGCTGATGATGATGCTGATGGTGGTGATGGTGATGGTGATGGTGATGGTGATGGTGATGGTGATATTGATGGTGATGATGATGCTGATGATGATGATGATGATGCTGCTGATGATGATGATGATGATGATGATGATGATGATGATGATGATGAT